AGGTGAGAACCTCGCTCGATACCAATTGAAAGGACCTAGGATGTCGCCTAGAGGGGGGGTGAATAGGCGCGTTCTGAAAAAATTAACACCTTTAAATGCGAAAACAATTAGAAAGGGAGTTTCCAAAATGGAAACTCCAAATTAAGAGTACTACCACCCCTCACAAGTTAGCCACAGAGTAAACAAGGTATAAAGAATATATCTAGAAGCTACAACCCCGCAACATCAAGTTAGAACAGAGAATAAATATTTTTAGTGCGAGTAGAAATACCGGGGCGTGTCCGGTATGAATACCGGACGTGTCCCAGATATACGATTTCGCATATCAGCCCCGAACTTGCTCCTTTTGATTTCTATCTTCAAACCAAACTGCAGGCACCTAATTTAACTATCAGTATACACAGAGAACCTGCACAAGTGCTAGAGCAATACAAATATCAAATGAAATGTGAATTGAGACACGATATTTGTTTTACCGAAGTTCGGACTCGTTCGAGTCCTACTCTCCGTTGAGGGGGCTGCGGGCGACCCAGCGAAGGTCAGCCCTAGAGGATACCACGAAGGTCACTCTAGCCGGAGTCTTTTCCAACTCCTTTTCCTCCTTCCACTAATTGATTCCGAGGCGGCGAATCGACTGCTACAAACTTTCCCGAGGCACACCACAATCTCCCGGGTGCTCTCCGTGACGGTCTAACCATCTAGGACCGAAGAGTCCAAGAGTAACAAATGCGAATCACGAGATTGACAATATGCACAAGTGCTCAAGTGGTGGCTTGCTCTCTTTTTCAAATTCTCTCTTAACCCACAAATTGATTTTGTAATTTGGATCACACACTCACTAAGAGAGGGTTTAGGAGAGTTGGCAAGGCTCAAAAACGTGTGTCTAAGTCAGTAGAATCAGCAGCCTCCAAAGGTGGAGGCTTGGGGGTATTTATAGCCCCCTTGAAAAACTAGCCGTTTTATAGCCGTTGCAATACCGGACACGTCCGGTATGCATACCGGACACGTCCGTATGACTCGATCACGCATAGCGGTAACTAAGTTCTGATGATGTTGTGAGGCATCGGAACTCCCGAAGAATGCCGGATTTTCGACCGTCCGGAACTCCCGACTCAAGTCGGAACCCCCGACCCTCAGTAATTTTGAAAAACATGTAACTGAGTTAAAATTAGTGAGGTGTCGGAACTCCCGACATATGTCGGAACTCCCGACCGTCGGAACTCCCGACATACGTCGGAACTCCCGACCCTCACGGCTTTTGAAAACTAGCCGTTGGCTTCTGGTCATCCATACCGGACACGTCCGGTATGACCAGGACAGTGAACCCTCCAAGTCAGTTGAAGTGCGACACGTCGGAACTCCCGACCCATGCCGGGACTCCCGACCGTCGGAACTCCCGACCTACGTCGGAACTCCCGACTAACCAACCCGAGAACAACAATTTTACAGCTGCTGGACAAATACCGGACACGTCCGGTATGAATACCGGACACGTCCGGTATTGCCAGACCAGCAACAAATCAGTTAGCTCTTTTGTCTCTCAAATACTCAAAACTCACATGGGTTGGCTTGAGCACCTATGAAACATTATCTATCAACATGATGCATCCCTCTTAATAGTACGGCATACCTATTAAACTAAAGACAAACGGAAATATGAATTTGTACCACTTGAGTTGTTCTTTTGAATTGATGCCGTCCCTTCCAATCTTCATCAAGTAAGGGTGCTAACATGTTGATGTTGATCTTTTCACTTGAGCATAGCCATCTTGAGCATGTGACTTGATTCCATTCATCAAGTTTGAATAATCCCAAATGTATCAAGTCACTTCCATCAAATACTTCATTATAGATTTGATTCTTCACATCAATATGACCATCTTAGCTTGATTAGTACCTCAACTAAATGCAAGTACTTTCTTCTTCACCCTAGCTAGGTTCTTGACGCCAAGCCAAGTCAAACTTGCCCTTCACCCTTGCTTAGTACCTCAAGCCTTTCCTTGCTATCTTCACCATCTCAAGCCATCAAGTCATATCTTGTGTTGAATCATCCATTCATATGTATTGTTATCTTTTTCATTTTAATTTAGCAAGCTTCAGATATGAGACCATTCCATATGCAATCCATCATGTCTCATTAACTAATAATCATGAGCTTGCTATCACATAGTACATGGAAATCCCACAATAAATAAGCCTTCACATGAATTCCATTTGCATTGTTGTCTTGTGCTTGAACTAGATTGTTTATACAACAACACATCATTTTGGCTTTCATTAAGTATCTATGAGATAACCTATTACCTGTTCACACTTTAGCAAACGGGTTAGTCCTTTAATCATGTTGTCATTCAATCATCCAAAACCCACTAAAGGGCTAGATGCACTTTCATACTGCCCTGTGCTACCTAACCCCTGCGCCAAGGACAAAGCGGCATGGAAGGTTGAGTCCATGTCCTCAGAGCCTCGGAAGCAGCCAGAGAGCCCACCTGCTTTCGGTCTCTCACCACGTCCGAGACCCCGGCAAAGGCCTCGGACGCGCCATTCCTTCTCCGCCTCGGCCGAGGCCGGCTCAAATCCCGCATTCTCGCCGCCTCGCCTCAATTCCCATCCGTAAGTATCCCTAGTTACGCCTCGTCCAACCACGATTGGCGGTATGGCAAAAAGGGCGATGGGACGACGGTCAAATCACCTTTTACCATCCCCTATTGACGGTGCAGAGACTATGGCTCCTGCGGACGCCCATTCCGCACTTTTTCACCGAGAATCGAATCGACCACGAGACCACCGAGACCCCCTGCGTCAGACACGGGTCACCTCCGAGGCCTCGGCAAAGAAGGCCTCGCACGACGATCAACTCCAAGCACCAAAGAAGGCCTCGGCACTCCACCAGGACAAGAGTCCACCAGGCACGGCATGTCACCTACAGTGGAGTCCATACTGACTAGACGTCAACAAGGACCCTTACGACTTCAACAGCCTCGGGCATGGCCTGCTTGACGCACCAGTGATCAAGTACCAATTACCATTCCCGACACTGTATTGCTACAGGAATAGGCCATAGTACTGATCTTCCTTTCTCGCTAAGACTCCACGTGTAGCTCTCTCATGTACTCCTGTCTCCTTCCTTGTGGCTATAAAAGGAAGCAGTCAGGGCCGTTTCTAGGGATCGGAAAAAACCACACCAGCCTCACGCAAAAACGCACTCACTCAATTCACGCGCGCTCCCACGCTGCCTGAGAGCAACGACTCAAGCAGCCCGCACCACTCCACGCCGAGACATGGGACTAGCTCCCTCTCTCATCCAGCTTGTAACCCCCTACTACAAGCACTTCGGTGCAAGGAATACAAGATCGATCTCCTAGACTGGACGTAGGGCGCTGATTGCCTGAACCAGTATAAACCTTGTGTCTCTTTGCATCACAATCCGGGACTAGGAGCACGCAGTTCACATTTACTGGTTGGTTGAGGACCCCCGGTCCGAAACACCGACACTCGCGTTTTGGAATATACGTCGACATCAGGGTAGTTGGGCAGGGCAAGTTGGTCCTTTAAGGTGTTTACGAGCTTATATAAATAGAACCCTAAGAGGGTCATGTAAGGAGAAGAGGATGAAACCTTAATTTTCCCAAAGGACTGCAACCTTTCGATCATTACTTTCAGTGTTATCATTTCTTCCTTGCGTCTTTCTCTTGTCTTCGTTTACTGACGCGACAACCGAGTGTTCGAAGGCTAAGGCCTAGAACAACAATATTGTTAACTTTATGGTATTATTACTCGATTCAGAAAGAAAATTATGATGCTATATAACACTTTACATGTCCTGGTCTCCTGTATACCATATACTCACCAAGTAATTAAATCACAGTGATAATAAAGAAAGTTGTTTTGTAGAAATACTTGAATTTGTCTAGCTGGCTACACATTATAATGTGCTATAGGAGGATTTGCATAGCCACCTTGATTCCTATAAGCGTGCAGCCACCAAGACACTGCATCCATTTATTATATGCATCCATGTGCCACAAATCAACAAACCGTAGAGATTTGTTATTTTGCAAATCTAGGTAAACACGCTCCAATCATTTGACACCATGTTTCGCATCCATGTGTGTAACATATTATTTATGATTTGGAAGGATGCACAATGTTGTTTAACCGTTCATGATCGAGCACCAAAAGTACACACAACTCTCGTGCTAGTGCCAAAATCTATTTGCCATGACACGAAAGGTGCTTTTGTAAATTTGAAAGAAAAAAAATGTGATGGAACGGATTGGTCGAAACTCTCGAATTTTGGTCTTAGTGACTAGTTAAGACCCTACTTGATATCTTATGGTCTAAAGTTTGGCCACTAAACTTTAGACCACTTTAGCTCTTGAGGCTCTAAACAGAAGGTCGAAAGTACCATCTAAAGTTTAGCCAATCTTAACAAAAAAAAAAACTTTAGACCACACAAATGAGCTAAAGTGGTAGTTTTAGCCGTCAACTTTAACCAGCTAAAGTTTAGACCAGAGAATCCAAATTAAATAGGCCCTAAGCCGTCTTCCTAATTCTATTTTTACAAATTTATTAACCAAGATCATGTGATTTCCTTAGAAAATTTAAGATTATGGGTGGGGCATACCTCTCTTCCTGGCTTATTAACCTCCGTCACTGTCACAGTTGTACTAACTTTGCCAAGAAAACCATTGAGTTTTTACATCATGTTAGTATGTGACTTGGCAATGGATTCATATTCTACACAAAATGTTTGACTCCGAAAAAAGAAGACCAGTCCGTCGCACTGTATACTAAGTTATATACCATATCAATGGCAAATTGATGATAATTTATTCAATTTTTGACATTGCAGGAAGCTTTGACTATGCCAACCTGTCCTCCTCCTCCTTTTTCTTTTTTCTTACTTTATTTTTGTGATCCAGGCTGCTTATCTGTGAGTTTGTCTGGTGGGAATGGGCGACGACCATCACGAGGCAATTCGTTACCGACTCACAACTTCAGATGCTTGGAATTTCTTGCAATGGTATCTTAATCTTGGAATTCGATTGGAAGCTTGTTACAAAGCTGTACACATAGCACTTATGACTTACCTGAATGTGTCCATTACATCATATCATTCAGCCACCTATCAATCTATAAGCTGAATGATGGAGAAAGATCACGCTAGAATCATAGAATGAAAAGGACAGAAAGAGAATGTGCATGGAAAGAAACCATTCTTCCAAACCGATGATTGACCCAGGGCTACAGCTGAAACTCAAGTGCCTTCTGCTGGAAGAGTGCGTAGTGGCTTTTCCATCAGCGAGGAACTGATACGGATGGCCATGGTGTTGCTCTCTCGGTCTCAGACGATGGTGCAGGGCCCGGGGTGCTCGTCCTCGATGGGGATGTAGCACGGCTTGGGGTACGGGTACGGGTACGGCGGCGGGCACGGCGGCGGAGGGCATGGCGTGCACGGCGGCGGGCACGGCGGCGGAGGGCACGGCGTGCACGGCGGCTTGGGGCAGCACCTTTTCTTCTTCTCCTCTTCCTCCTTTTTCTTCTTCTCCTCTTCCTCCTTTTTCTTCTTCTTCTCTTCCTCCTCCTTCTTCTTCTTCTCCTCGGCCTCCTTCTTCTCGTCGATCACCGACACCACCTCCGCCGGATGCTTCGCCTTGCGCAGATGCTCCACGATGACCACCACGTCCACGTCTCCGACCACCGTGAGAGTGCTCTTCTCGTCGTCGTATGTCAGGGACTTGATCCCTGTAGTAGGCACCGTTATCAGTCAATTCATGACCACACACAGCTAAGCTAGCATGTCCATCAACCAGCAGAGAACGAACACCCTTGAATGACAAATGCATACACAAAAAGAAAGGATAAATTTACCTTTAACTTTCGAGGCGATCCCAAGGACGCAGGTTTTGCACTTCTTGCAGGTGATCGCCACCTTAAGTACTATCTGACGATGATGCAGAGAAGAACAGTTAATAGATAGACCATAGAAAATTCGTGGGAGGGATCAAGAAAATTTAAATGCTAACCTTCATCACCGCTGCAAGGTTGGCTCTCTATACTGCTTGTGGTTACCAATTGGTGGTTCTTATATATCGTTTCTGTAATGAGCTCAGCCGAAAGCCTCTTCTGCTATAGGTGGCTTTATACAAGCAGCAGGAGAAGGGTCCTTTCGTGGAGGTTACATGCTTGCCATGGTTTGGAATTTGTCAAGTTGAGCAGGTGGCGGCTTGGAAATGTCAGCAACTAATACTAGTAAAATAGTACTCGTACTTGGGGCCTGTTTAGATGCCGAAATTTTTGGCAAAATGACACTGTAACATTTTCGTTGTTATTTGTCAATTAGTATCCATCATAGTCTAATTAGGCTTTATAGATTCGTCTCGTGGATTTTGTCTAAACTGTGTAATTAGTTTTATTTTTTATTTATATTTAATGCTTCATGCATGCGTCAAAGATTCGATGTGACAGAAAATCTTGAAAATTTTAACATTTTGGGAGGGAATTAAACGGTACATTGGGCATTTGTAGGTTTTTTTCTATGGGTGCATTGTCGTAGAAACCTGCTTGGAGTTCTGTATTGTCGAAGTCGCTGACGTCATCTCGCCCTGGAAGATGGTTCCTAAGGTTCCTGGGAATCTAATATGATAGCCGGGGAGGTGATAAATTAGAAGGAAAAAAATGACAGCCCATCCTTCTATATGAAGCATATCTATATTCTTTTCTCAAAGAACATGCTTGTTCTTTTTTCTTTTGACTAGGTTACGTGCCCGTGCGTTGTTACGAGATAACTAAACTTTTATACTTAAAAATATATAGATCGCACGAGTGATATATTTAGATTACTAATATATGTATATATACTCAAAATAATCTTTAAAATTATAGAGATCGGTCACGGCACATTTGCAGGAGATGATTGATCTTGCCGTGCTAGATTTATTTATCCAGCTGCTGACAGCTTCACTAGCGGCAGAGGCGCTAGGGGGACACACCCTAATCCTCCCGTTAAAACAGGAGGATCACCTTTAATTCTTGTGCTAACTAATGTGTATTAAGTGAACTTGGCCCCTCTTGCCCTATAAAAAAAAACGTAGCCCCTCTTGCTAGCTAACCACTACTATGTCTTTTTGACTATGGTCCCCCTATATCAATTTTCTGGCTCCGCCCTGACTAGCGGCCGGATTAGGCTTCATGTGGAGAGGCGGCTAAGCACGGATAAGCAAATGCAAAGGTCCATCTTCACGCCTGATTGGTGAACTGAGAATCAAAGCATTAGATGAACAAAGTGTTTGTCAAATGATGCTGTGACGAAGACCAAAAGACAAACATAATTGGCCTGTTTGGGAGGCCGTATCGTATCGTGGATTATTTACTGCTGGCTGGTTTGGTGTGAGAGAAAAATACTGTTCCTGACTGGAAATTTACGATCGTTTACGAGCAAGCGAACAGGCTGAATATAATCGAAGTAGTACTCGGCATGCCCGGCCTGCTCGTTGTCTCTCGTTTGTCATTTCTCATGTTCGTTTGGCTGTGTCTTTTCGTAAACGATCATAAATTTTTAGTCGAAATAGTATTTTTCTCTCACACAAACCAGTCAACAGTACTTCTTCACGAACCAGCAACGAAACGAACCGGCCAACCGAACACGACGATGAGCCTTCGTCCTACAACCGAGAAACGAACACCGTACCTTATATTGACTTGCGGTTGAACACCTTTTTTTTGAGCAAAAGGAGGCTACGATTTTGTGCTTTGGTTCAAGCACCAAATCAACGGTACACAAGCACTAGCTACCAGCACTAGGTTTGTGGTTTATTTTTGCTAGGCTCCAAAGCCCACGACATTTACCCGACCTATCGAAACTTGTTTTCTGCTAGACGAGTCTCTATATTTTAAGAAAAAAAAAATCAGCGGAGACGGGACACCATGAGGCAGTAGTGGGAAGCTATCGTGGATCTACGACATGTGTATATGCAAAACCACCCAACACATGAGAGATATTCAGTTTTTCTTTTCAATTGTTACTCCTAAATTTATACAACAGACATATACGTTGAATGATTTTGCATACAATAATGTGGCCGAATTTTTTATTTTTTAGTCTTTTTTTTAAATTTTTTTTACAAATATGCCTCTAGAGATAAGATTTTAAAATCTGGACCATTAAACTTACACGTCTCGGCGTCATCGTCTGCTAGCGTCGAGCTCTTAAGCTAGACGTAGATGTGACGATGACATGACAGACAGCTCGACGTCATAGATCTTGACGCCGATCTCAACGCCATAGATCTTAACGCCAAACTTAACGCCGTTGATCTTGACGCCGAGCTGGCGCCGTGCTTACCGACGCCGAGCCTGTCTACATCATGGGCGATGCCAGTGCAGTAGTAGGTACGGTAACAGTCCAAGCCCAACCAAATGCAGAGAGAACTGAGAGACTTTTGGTCTTCGACAACGGCTCGTATAGTATATCAAATCTGTTCGGCTGGTGCTCGGCTGGCTGCTGCTCCCACACAAGGTACTGTAGGCCGTACCAGCAACAGCGACCTGCCGCTGGTTTTTTATATCAGCCGGCTGCCACACTCCGTAGTCAAAAGAATAGACGCTGCAGCTGTAATATAATACAGCCACGACACATTGAAGTTTTGCGGCGTGTATAAAGTATTAAATATAGATAAAAAAATTAATTATACAATTTGGTGGGAAATTACAAAACGAATGTTTTAAGCTTAGTTAGTCCACGATTAAACACTAATTACTAAATAAAAACGAAAATGCTAAGGTAACCCAAATTCCCAAATTCACCCAACTAAGGCCTTATTTAGATTCCAAGTTTTTTCACTCTCTCTTCGTCACATCAAATCTTTGAACACATGTATAAAGTATTAAATGTAGATAAAAAAAATAACTAATTACACAGTTTGATTATAAATTACAAGACAAATCTTTTAAACCTAGTTAGGCTATGATTAAATAATAATTATCAAATACAAATGAAAATAATACAATACCAAATACTGATTCCTACCAGGCCTAAACACGCGCACAGACCTCAACCGTTGAAAAGACTAGCAGTAGCGGTAGGCCAGTAATTAATAGTAATGAGTACTCCGTACTTGCGGGCAGACATGAGGTGTCCCGGACCGAAAACCACGGCCATGTTCCCGTGTTTAGGTGCAGTTTAGTTACACAAAATTTTGTCAAAATTTTCAGATTTCCCGTCACATCGAATCTTTGACACATACATGAAGCATTAAATATAAATAAAAAATAAAACTAATTACACAGTTTAAACGAAATTCACGAGACGAATCTTTTAAGCCTAATTAGACTATGATTGGACACTAATTACCAAAGAACAACGAAACGTGCTACAGTGCATTTTGCAAAAAATTTCGCCATCTAAACAGGCTCTTAGTTGCGAACGAAATTCCAAAAAAGTGTTATAGTATCCATCAAATCGAATTTTACGATACGTACACGGAGTATTAAATGTAGACGAAAAAAAACTAATTGCACAGTTTGGTGAAAAATTGCGAGACGAACGTTTTGAGCCTAGTTAGTCCATGATTAAACACTAATTGCTAAATAAAAACGAAAGTGTTACAGTAACCTAAATTCCAAACTTGCCTCAACTAAACACGGGTTTGTGTGCACCCGAATCGGCGCCGCCGAAAATACTAGCTACACTGTAGCTACAATAGCGTTTTGTTTGTGTTTGGTAATAATTATTCAATCGTTGACTAATTAGGTTTAAAACATTCGTCTCACAAAGTACAACCAAATTGTGCAATTAGTTTTTGATTTCGTCAACATTTAGTACTCCATACATATACCGCAAATTTAATGTGACGGAAAATCTTCTTTTTGCATAGTGTCCAATTTTAGATTTAGGGTGAATTAAACATGGCCCACAGCAGGGAGGACCGATTGCAATTGGGGCCCTGTTTAGTTCATCCAAAATATCAACTTTGACACTATGTAAAAAGAAGATTTCCCGTTACATCAAACTTGTGGTACATGCATGGAATACTAAATGTTGACGAAATAAAAAACTAATTGCACAGTTTGGTTGTACTTTACGAGACGAACGTTTTGAGCTTAATTAGTCAATGTTTAGACAATTATTACCCAATAAAAACGAACAAGTTACTGTAACTACAGTGCTTCACGAAATCGGTCGGCGCCAACTTGTTGACCAACCGAAATCGGTCGGCGCCAACTTGTTGACCAACTAAACGTGGCCTGGGTACGGGTCACCCGCACGTCAATCACATTAACGAGCTGGCCTGGCATCGCTGGATTGGACGCCACGAACCGCGCGCCTGCCTCGCCGCCAAATGAATTAACAACGCAGGACAATCCACAGCGTGACTTGCCCCCGATAATAAAGAAAAAATAGTAGTTGTATAAGCTACTGTAGGCGCCAATCATCCGGCCTAACCACGCGGCGTCCGCGTCTCCCGGTCCACACCTGCCGATGCCCGATGCCGATCCATGTCCATGTCCGTCCTCACGGGCCTCCCCGCACGTCGGGCTCCGCGGCCGGTGGCCAGGGGACGACGACGCTTTTACACGCGCGACGCCGGCTCCCGCGCCTCCGTCGAGGACGCAGCGCAGGGCAGTCAACAAAGGGTCCGCAGTCCGCACGCAGGCGTCGCCGTCTCTTTTTAGAAAAATAAATAACAATAAAGCGAACGTCGCGCGCGCTACTCGCCGGTCACCCCCTTCCAGTGCCGGCCCCAGGGTAGGCCACCGGATACGACGGCTGAGGGCCCAAACCAAGGATAGGCTCAAGCCTAAGTATACAAATTCTCACGTCCTATAGTCCATTAAGTATTAACAAATTAGTTAAAAGAAAGACATAAAGCTGATTAGGCGGCCCAAAAAGACAACATGGACATTTCTTTTCTAGCTTCCTTTCTCCACGGCCCTCGGGTAGAGAGGAGGCGAGGAGTCACGCTGCACACAGCACACTCTGATCGTGAGTTCACGACGTGCGCCTTACACACGCAGAGCTAGCGAGCCGTGC